CAGTTTGTATTGTACAGGTTGTTTTGGGGATGAGGTCCGAAAACCTGTGGTCTCTCTAATATTCACTTCAAACCCCGTGTCGCACCTATACGCTCCGTCTGTCGTTTATGCTCTACTTAAATCGCTATTATTATTCTTCGTTACTTTATTATTATTATTTTCTCATAATATATCTTATCCTGTTTCTCTCTAGGAGTAGTAAAGAATGTGACATAACGGATTCTATCATATGATTCTTATTTCTGTCATTCATTCACTTTTTGTCTCTCTTTTCTTCAACTCCTCCTCTTTCTTTCTTAATCTCTTTAACGAAATAATCATATCGTTATTATAACTTTAATAATTACCTAAGTAATCATTTACCATTACCTTTACAATTTAATATGTAGCATTTTCTTTATCTATCGTAGATTTGTCTGTGGCTATCCCTGATGTGTTAGTTACCCTGCGCTTCCGTCTGGTTGTCGAAATATTGTTGTGAAATTGTGGTCTACGATTAAAAGTATATTCAACGTTTGTCACGTTTTTATATTCTTTCTCTCACTTTTTTTGCTTTTCGGACATTCAGATCAGTATGATTTCGGTGAATTTCATTGCAGACCGCGCTTTTTTCACATCTCTTTCGTGTGATTGAGAATTGAACTCTCCGAAATTATACTGCTGTCGATCCTTAATTTCCCTTGAATTGCATTTCGCGTTTCGGTACTCGCCAAAATCGGCGATTGCACGTGCTTGCCTCGTTTCTCGTCGAATTATCCGTTCGTAATGAGTCAAACCAAAGATAGTTGTTCACGTCTCGACAGATCGCGCGATTTTTTTCATTTTGCTCGTGTTGTCGGATACTTCAAAAGCGGGAAACTCGAATAGAAAGAAGCGAACGGAATAAAACAGTCAACAATTAAAAATATTATTTACAGACTATTCTGTAAATAATATCACTATCGAGTAAGTGAATTAGACCTAAAAATTATTCACATCGGAGCATACTGACAACGGGTAAGATTCTCGTGGGATTGATAAATGGGAAATCTTGACAAGTTATTGTCACTGTTACTGCATTATCCACGACTGTCGCAATTCAGCAAGATTGTTTTTTATCAGACATGAAAAACAGACGATTCGCACGAAAAAAATGCTTGTTTTCGTGTCAATAATATTTTCGTCGCCTTATTCAATTATATTCGAGAAGCTTCATTTAAAAACCGTATCAATAATCGCATAAAAATGTATTTCATTAAATTAGAAATTATTTTAAATTAAAAACTAAAAAAATCACAAATTATGAACTAAACTACAAACTAAAATTAAAATTAAACACTAAACTAAAAGGACTTTAATTGAGAAAATTTAGTCGAAAGGATAACAAAATTTATCATGCATTACAATAATGTTCATTAATTTTGAATTCAATTCTGAAATTCAATTTCACGAATCATAATTAAATAATTATTATAATTAAATCTAAAATATAAAATAGGTTGAATTATATATAATCATATAATTTAAATTAAGGATGTTTTGGCTATACGATATTAGTTAAAAGTAACATCAGTTAAATAATCAGCCAAAAGAAATTAATATTAGCCAATATTATTATTCAAAATTAATGATACTTTTAGTGATACTAGTCCGCGAATACACTTTAAAATCAATTGCATAAAATAAAATGACAAATAATTTGTCTTTTATACAGCAAAATGATTATATTTTTCTGCAGTTTGGATAATAAACGAATAAATTAAAATAGATTTTTACACGAATTTATTATTGTATGATCAGTATAAAATTTGATTATGTATAAAATTTGATTTAATTTTTAATATTATTTTCTTATCAAATAAATATTACAAAATTTTAAAAATCAAATAAATAAAAAAATTGAATAATTTTTAAACAATAAAAGAATTATACTCAAATTTTATACAGATATTCAGATGTACAATCTATAAAATTTTTATATATTTTTATATATTTTTGTATATTTTTATAAATTTTTATATATTTTTGATATTATTTTTAGATATAACATCCTTAAAATAATTTGTCAAATGTTAAATTTCATTCGTCAAATCACTGAAAAAAATGTTTCTTCAATTGTTCAAGATTTTTCATTTATCATTATTAAAATTAAAAGTTAACTTAATTTAGATATGATATTAATAATCAGCTGTTTATATTTTATATTTTATTATATAGTAAATAACTAAAGTTGCAAATTAACTAACAAATCATATCGCAATAATAAAAAAGAACATATTTAATTTAATAGTTTTATATTGAAACATTCATTGTAATATCTATACTTCAACTATTTCGTATAATTTTTCCGACTATTACATATATTTTCTTTCCTTTTTTCCTCCAAGTCAACGGTTTGAAATGAGCTTCTCGATATGCCATTAATTAGTCATCATATATTTCACCAATAAAAAAAGTTTCGTGCTATCTCATCTCATTCTTTATCTATCGTAAACATAATCGTCATTTTTCGTTCAAGACGTATTTTGTACGTTGTTGATATTGAAGCATCGTACTTTCTTCAGCCGTTAGCAAATACTATTTGGTACATGATCACTTTTGCAGCAGGAACTATACATAGCAGTGGCGCTGAAAGTTGTCTCGCGATCGCGTCGCAATGTTTTCGATGCCATTTCGTTTTCGCAAAAAGATCCGACAATCTTCAATTCGCGTCTCAAGAAAGAATCGATGATTGCGGACGACATTAAAACAAGACGATGTGACGTATCGTCAACGAGTCTGACTGAACGAGCCTGAATATAAAAGGCGGAACATATGCTCGAAGATTTTGTTACCAAGATTCAATTTTGATGAACGAAAATTTTACTTTTAATTCTATCTTCTTAAAGAGATGTTTTCGAAAAACAATTTTTATCTTCACTTAAAAAGATGTTTTTTGGAAAATAAATCTCGAGGTTGAATAAATACTTGCTAAAAATCAATTTCCAAATTATGTTCATCGGGAATCAAACTATATGAACGACATCCGACAAAGAGCTCTTGAGTATTTTTCTTGACAGCCGTAAAAATCTCACGCGGTCTAACCACCGACGGAGGAAAGACACAGCAACAAAACCCAAGTGGCAAGCACAGAAACGAGCGGAGAGCAGTTAATGGCGCTTAAGCGTGGATTGAGCAAAGCTCGAATGTTACATCGAGAGTATACCCTGCGGAGAGCTGCGAGTCGGTTGGTAAAAGTCAGTCTTGTGAAGGATAGTGTCTTGTGTTGAATCGCGCGCGTGTAAATCTATATAACCCCCGTGCGATGAAAAACTTTACGGAGGGGTCTCTTAATTAACTATCGTACGATTAACCCTTTGGCTGCGGCACGTCAAATTGTTTTCTCAAAATATTTAAGATCCACGGATGGATCTCTCAGTTCTAGTTGTATTCTAGCTATTGTATGTATTGCTTTTATGATATATTTTTTGTAAGTAAAATACGTCATAATTGTCTGAAATTGATTTAATTTTCTTTGAAATATATTGTTAAGTATTAAAATTTAACAGGATTACTAGAATACTATCGACATTGAATGATAAGTTATTGTTAGACAGTATTGTTATTGATACACATACGTACAAGAAAATATAGATCACTCTTAATTAATATAATAAACAATTTTGAAACATTTCACACTTTTGACGATAAAATAGATCTTCATAAACATAAAAAAACCTAATTGTTAATTCAAAAAGAAAAAGAACAAACGCACTATCAAACTTAATCTTGAAAATTTGGGGGAGAGAATGTATAATCAACATCCCTTCATAATACTTATCAATAAAAAATATTATAACACAAAATCGCTTAAAAATTGAAATCACTTATCATACTCTATTATAAGATTATAACGGCGATCAAGGAGTCTAAACTGATATAAAACGGGCTGAATTTTTAAAAGCTTGTTCTCGTTTGTGCTAGCTTTTAATATGGCAGAGTGAGCATCCTGATTGAAGGCATAGCTTAGCACTCAATATCTCGATATGTAAAATTTATTATCGATAGCATTCTAGAATTATAAATTATTAAAAAATAATCTATCCAAGAATTAAATTATCCAAGAATAAACTATCTTATAACTATCTTTCAACAGATCTCTATTTTTTCTATCATTACTTTTATAAAAAATTAAACTTTTTTTATAAATTAATATGAAAGGCAATTTTATACCAAAGCCACATCCATATGTGATAAAGTTATTTTATAATTTATTTTAAAACAAGTTATCTTACAGGTATTTTTAAAAATATTTTAATTTTGGAAAATATAAATACGCACAGTCATAAATTATATAAAAAGTCACAAAAATTTTTATCTAAAATATTTTTTTATTTTAGTATTTCAACAATAATTTAGAATTCCTTAAAAGCTTTGAAGAGATCATCTTTTAAATATAAAAATATAAAAATAGACATTCGCCTAAATTTTTATATTTAAAGGCTTTTCTCCACTGAAGCCGATTGTGCCGATCAACATACTGATGTCTTCTTCTTCTTTACAAAAAAATAGAAAACGTCAGTACATTAATTGACGCGATCAACTAAGTCAGATCAAAAAGTCAGTAGGCACGAATCCTAACGACATATTTTAAGAAAAATCAAATCAATTCTGAATTATAGCATATTTCTTGAAGAGATATATTAAAAGCGCTATAAACTTTTGAGTTTTATATATGTGAGTGTATGACACGAAGGCGATAATTTTGCAGATGTCAATATCTCTAGAAAAGTTCAATCTCAAATCTCCTAAGATGTTTTCTCAAGATAATTAACTAAATAACCATATTTGCGACATACGTTTGCGAATTAACGCGAGTTTATAACCAGGTCTATCACTGACCGATTATGATACAGGTATTCACAGCCAAAGGACTAATCGACTATCTGCTCAACCCTCAGTGGGCAAAGGTAACAAATCAATCATCGCTTAACATCAACATACAAGAACGTACCATTCTAGCCAAACGGTTCTATTGAATCCTAATCAGAACCGTTTTGCTGTAGCAACGCGGGCGTCGATTGCGCTGGTTGCGACTGCATCGACGACTCCTGGTGATGATGGTGGTCAACGATGGGGGATGGTGTCTCGCTGGTCTGGGAGTTCGTCAGGTCGCCACCACCTCCACTGCTGCCGCTCCCATCCCCTACCCCACTTCCTACGCACCCACCCCCGCCCCCATCGCCGCCCGGATTCGCGGACGATTCAAAGGCCTTCTGCTCGCTCGGAGGTAACATATGCACCATATTCACCAGGGGAAAAGACGCGGTGGCATAATCGGCGGGATAGTAGCCCTGTGGCTGCGGCATGTTGCCGCCGAGTAGACCGCGATGGGGATAGCCGCTGTTGTCCCCCGGATGCTGCAGCGGCAGACCGGTGAGCCCGTGGCTCATCTGCGCGGACTGCTGGACGGGCTTGATGTTATTGTTATTCATGATTTCAGAGTTATTGGTGCCGGTACAAGTCCTACGTAATTGCTCAAGCTTTAGACTCTTCCCGTATTTACCACGCACATACATTAGCAAGCTATTATAGGGAATACCAAACATACGACTAGCCTGCGACGTGGTCAGCTTTTTTTCCCAAACATGTTGCAGAGCTAATGTAAGTTCGTTATTCGTCCAGGATCGTGGTGGTCCACCTCGCGGAGCGCTGTGTTGCCCTTTGGGCCTATTAACCGCGAGAGCTCGAGTGTTGTGATCGGTCCATCTACGTGGCGTGTCACCATCATTACGATGTTTTTTTGTCTTTTTAGCGGGCGCAGGACCGAGACTGGGAGTACCAAAGAGATTTTGGAGCGCTTCTGGCTTGAAATTATCCGTAAGCAGCGAATCCGCGAGGATACCTCTGTCATATGTGGTAGCGTGATGCGAGAAAAGTCCGCCACCTAGAGCTGTCACGCCGTCTAATGTCGGTGTAAACATCGCCATAGCGCTACGTCGCGGCAAAGCTGATTCTTGTTGCTGCTGTTGATACGGATGAGATCTGCTGGAACCATGCGGACTGTCTTCGCGTGGATGGTGACTTTGAGCCGGCGGCGGCGGCGGCAGTTGACTTTGAGGATGCCCGGGCAGCCATTGGCTGAGGCTTGTCAGGTACTCGGGAGGATGCGGTTGCGACAACGATAACGTCGGCATTGTCGGTAGCGACAATGCTACAGTTGCCGCTACAGCTGCTGCTACGGCCGCCGGGATGTCTGATACAGGATCCGGATGATGTAGTAGACTCGTTCCAGTGAGCGGCGAGCCGCGAGGACTGCTCGTCGCTTCACTGCCTTCTGTCTTCACATGATGCTGATCTAATCCGCTCGGCGATATAGGTTTCTTCATCGAGAGATTCTCCGCCATGTCTTCTTGCTGCTGCTGCTGCTGCTGCTGCTGATTCTGTACGTTGTTAATCGATTGTTGTTGATGATATTGAGATTGCTGCAGTAGTAGCTGCTGCTGCTGCTGCTGTTGCTGCTGCTGCTGCTGCTGTTGCTGCTGCTGCACCTGGTGTTGACCGCTGAGATTAAGAACGCTCGTCAATGGACTCGAACTGACCGGTGGGGTCGAGCGTCTGCTCAGATCTTGCGGTAGCAATTCGCCGGATCGTCGGCGCGGACGCGCCTGTTTCCGACGTGGCATTGACGGCGAGCCGCAACTCTCGCGGATACCAAAGTTCATGTGGCCAATGTGCGACTTGGCCTGATGGTCCCTCGTTGGTGGAAGCAGGATAGGTTTCATCTCCGCTGTACTCTCCAACGCGTTTTCATCATCTTCCGGTGTGCCGTGTCGTGCGACTTCTGGTGTTGGTGATCCAGCCAGAATGAGATCGCGCGTCGGCGTTGACGCCAACGACAACGGCCTGGGTTCCGTCGACACCGGCCTCGGCTCCGATGACGACAATCCACGCACCTGCAGACACTCTGCGGCCTTCATCAGCCCCGGTAACTCCTCCTGAGCGATTTGCACCTCACCACGATATATAAAGTGCACCAAAGTGGACAATTCATGGTGCGAGAAGTCCTTCAGCACGATCACGGGGTGCTTGCACGGATTTTCAGCGAATATCCTCTCGAAGAAAGGACTGTAACATAGGGAAAACGACTCCATACGATTACGATCGTTCTCTTTTAAAATTTGGGAATCCAAAAAAGAAGCAAAAAAAAGCGTTTTTCCATTTTGCTTGATCCACAATGTATTTGCGCTAAGTACGTTGCGACACAATCGCGGAAAATTTTGCACCGTGATATTTGCAACATTACATGCGTCCCAGGCGTGAAACGTTGCATGTCTTCGCTCAGTAAGATAAAACGATGGCCAGAAACCGCGGGCAAAAAGTCACCGCAAGGATTAGCGCTCCTTCCCTGATTGAGCGACGGCGAATCAATCAGATGGTACAAGACTTTCGCTCGTTGTCAACTTTACGTCACACGTCTCGCGTGAAGCGAGAAGAGCGTTGTGGTAACGTATAGACGGTACGAAGCGGCACTTAGTTGCCCGGTAAACCACGAAGGTAAGAAGCGACGAAGAAATTTTTCTTCGGATAAAAGAGACCTGCCGAGTGCAAGAACCACTCTCGGTTTTCAATGCGCATCGCTTCTTTAAGATACACTATACACTTCCGCTGATCAATAAAACTCGACCGATTATTTTTAATCGAGGAACCGCTAGAAAGGCAAGCAATGTAGAAGTTATTGTCAGTAGATACATGGGCAAAGGCGATGAGAGAGTTTAGAAAGCTTTAAACCTTTGCTGTCGGATTAATATTTCTTATTCTGCAAGCATTCTTTTTTTTTTTAGTTATCGAGAGGAGGAATTTTACTTACAACGTGAGTACAGTGTATCATTATTGGTCTCATAAAGGAGAATACAAATTTTTAAGAGTTTCGTGATTACTCGGGGATCATTTTATTTCTATGTTTTCTTCGTAGAAACCGAAAATAATTATTAACGCCAGACTTAAGGAAAAATTAGTACATCAAAATAAAATGAATAAAATCCTCATTCGCATCGTTATAAAATCACTGTCAGTTATGTTTAATAATTTATTTATAAAATTAATTCCAAATTGGATCAAATACGAATAATATTGCACCACAAAACGTTAATTAGATTATATTTTTCATATAATATTTATCATATCGGTGATGCAACGCCTGGAGTAGGAGGAACCGTACCGAGATGACAAATATTATAATGAAAAATATAATCTAATTAACGTTTTGTGGTGCAATATTATTCGCATTTGATCTAATTTGGAATTAATTTCATAAATAAATTATTGAAACATAATAATGACAATGATTTTATAATGATGCGAATGAGGATTTTATTCATTTTATTTCGATGTGTACCAATTTTTCCTTAAGAGTCTGGTTATTATAATGATTATTTCGATCTACGAAGAAAAATACATAAGAAAACATAGAAATAAAACGATCCCCGAGTGGTCACGAAATCCTTGAAAATTTATACCCTACTTTATTGCATAAAAAAATTTTCTTTTTGCTTTATAAATAACAAAAACAACACATGAATGTTTCATTTTGCAGAACTGCAGAATATAAAAATAATTGTTTCAAATGCCAAATCAATAATTTCTCTTTGATTTGATTCATTCACTAAAAATAAAAATTTAATTGATTATTACAAATAAAAGAAAAGAGTCTTATTTGGTAAAAAATTTAATATCTAAAATATAAATAAATAATAGAAAATAATATATTGAACATAATAATAATAATAATAATATTAAATTTTGAATGTATGCATTTTCAGTTCTACAAATACCTGTCGATTCGCATTAATTGAAGCTGGAAATAATATTAGAATAAATTAAATTTATCGCCAATTTAATAATAATGCTCATAAATATCTTGCAAAGAGATTATTGTGAAAAATTTCATCCAAACTAGGGTTCGAACTCGAATCTTTTTACTGACAGAGACGAGCGTCTTTACCAATTTGATCATTGAGGTACGTAGTGATAATTATATCACAATAATAAAAAATAAAATAATAAGAAATCGTCATTTTCATACATTTTTATGAATAAACAATAGACAATAAATTGAAATGGAACATATCAATTCATTTTCATTTGTTATTGTTTAGCCAATGACATCGTGTTGAAAATTAAAAGGAATCAAAGATTAAAATGAGATTCAGCAAAGGAAAAATTTAGCAAAGAAACTGTACTTTTAAGGCTTACTTACCTGCAGGCGCTGAGGACAACTTTGTGTGCCTTGACGCTGCTGTCAGCGCAGATCAGGGTCACGTCGACGAGCATCTCGGCTTGCAACAACTCCTCGAACGCCCGCTGTATGTGGGTGAGATGATTGTGCCATCGTAAGGAGTAGTGCGATTGCAGAGCCATTCTGTCAGGACTGTCCCCGACGCTCGACATTTTTCTTCCGCCGCTACCGCCGGAAGTTGATGAGTTAGCAGAGCCGCCACCTTGTCCCGCTCCGTTCTCTCTCGTGCGTCTTTGTGGTCCTGCGTAAGTCTATTTTTTCCATTCACACGCACACGTTATCACGTATGTACTATGGTGCCAACTATCTTTTCGTTTCTCTTCTTCTTTGACGCCTTGCCGCTATTCTGACCGTTTTTCTAAAATTTGAAAATGCGAAGGAATCGGTTAAAACTGAGGTTCTCTTAAGCCTCCACGATGCTAGAAATCGGTCCGAAATTTCAGACAGAGAAAGAATTATTACATTTGAATAATTCGATTACATGATCAATGCGATTAGCCAATTCTTTCTGAGATCTAGGTCCGAATTTAGCATAGCTTTAAGGAATGAAGAGATGATGAAGTGAACAGGAGAATAAGGCATAAAGAGGAAGTCACTCAGATATAACAACTTATCGGTATCAGGGATAAGCGTTACCCCTTCGAAGGTCGTCTCTTCGAAGGAACTAGTTTCCAAATGACATGTTCTTTTCCCGCCGTTTCGAAGTTTCGGAGAATCTACATCAGACATACGCTCGCGTACGTTATAATAATAAACCAGGCAATTATTAATTAGTGTTTACGTATTCGAGATGAAAGTCAACGTATCGCGTACGGATGCCGTTGATTATCGTGTGTCAATTTTAATCTGAAATTGAATTTTTCCACTTGCGTTACTTTTCTGTTTACATATTTCATAGCCATGTCCAACAAGTCCAATTATAATAAATCGGCGTAAAATTAACATTTTAATTCATTAGAGACTTTTTATTGCTCATGTGGCGTGAAATCGATCATTTTTTTTCACATATATTACCGTAAACAAATGCGACAAATACAACAACACATTTAAGGAAATGCGCTAGCACATGCATTAAGATATGACGGACATAAGTGTGCCCATTTTGGTAACGTATTCTTCCCATATATGCACATACAGTAAACTTGTAAATGTCTACGATCTGATATCACTGCTGTAATTAATGATTTGGTTAGTAGTTTTCATAGATATGAGATTTTAAATCTTTTTACTCTGGATAAGCGTCTTTATGAATTTGATCATTGAAGTACAATGATATGTAAAGTAATAATTAAAAATAAAATAAAACGTCATTTTCAGTTATAAATAAATAATAGATGATAAATTTAAATGGAACATATCGATTCATCTCCACTTATTACTGTTTAGTTGATTGTGACATCACATTGAAAATCTATCTCGGTTTCCATAAATATGTGGAAACATATTTTTGTTATTTTTTTTCTTTTTTTAAAGAAAAATTATACAAAATGCAAGTAAGACAAGCTAGAACATTATAAAGCAATTTGTTACAGGAATAGTTTCTACATCTCGTTTAGAATCTAACAAATATCCGTCTTTCAGATAAGAAACGGAATGAACAGGTTGTAATGCTGGCATTATTGAGACGCAAAATCATCAGAAACTTGCTACTTCCGTGGTGCACACTTCTAGTAGCAGAATTCGACGCAACATTGCCCCAATATATCCCCAATGTATGCCAACGTTTAACCAATGTTTCGTCAATAAATTGTGCTGTTTGACGTTAAGTATTTCTCTAGCGAATATGCGATAATTATGGAATCACACTTCGTGCGATTTACTCGTTAAATATTTAGCAACATTAGTTTCATCGATAGTCAAATGTGTTTGGCTATAATAAAAAAAAAAAGAGTAATATAGTTACCAAATGTTTAATAAAATAATTTCAATCAAATGTTAAATTAATATAACCAAAAATAATTTTATTTATCTAAATATTTAGTAAGTATTATCAAATGTATTATAATAATATAATTCAGCATTTAATAATTACTGAATATTTATAGAAAAGTAAAAAAAGTAAAAATTATTTTTGGTTATATTAACAGAATTATTTGATTGAAATTATTTTATTCAACATTTGACAGCTATTACCAGATTTTTTTTTAGTATATTAATAATTTTGGTAAAAAAAGATAATCAAAAGAGGGAAACAAATAGCGATCACGATTAATTTCTATGCTTTCTATGACATCGCCCAATATTTAATGTGTCGGAAAGGAGTCTTCCAAATCGCGACACATAAAAACATAAGAGAACATCTCGCGATACCGAAAATGTCAATCGTAATCAATGTAATCAATGTAGTCCGTTTGCAACTTCTAAACAAATAAGAACAATTAATAAATTGTACAATTTAGTTGGAAGATTAATCAAGTTTATCCATGTTCTTCATGTCTGATCGCTGACTGACAATGCATCCGTCTAATTCTTGGAGAGTTACTAGAAGACACTAATCCACGAGAGTAACCCATCTCTATCAATCATCCATTAAATTGCAGCGATTCGTAAACTTGTCGAGGAAGCACAGATACGAGTGAGATTTTTGTTTCTTTTCTTTAATCGTAATGCTTTTATATAAATATATAACTTCAAAGTAGGTCGATGAGGTGCTCATAATATAAACTGTACTTAACAAAATTGCAAATTCATTTTTAATTAGTTGGTGCAATAATTCCCTTCCTCCCTCCCTCCCTCTCTCTCTCTCTCTCTCTCTCTCGCCCCCTCTGTGTCAATAAAATACACTATTTAACATACAGGTAAGTATGTTTTGCACGCAATTCTAACGGAACGAATGGCCCTTGAGTTTCTATACGTTTCTCTAGTTGTCTGTACGCGACACGAATTGAAACGAATGACGTAGCGTTCGTGCGTTTATTTTATAATTAAAACGTAATTAATGCAAAAGGCGTCACACGTGCGTAGGCGCACGACGTGACCTGGAACGAGCGTACACCTCTTGAACATCACGTCATTTACACATATGCGACAGCTTCGATTATAAACTGCATCCAGTGAAAAACCCACTTACGGATACACGCTTGATAAATCACTTCGGTCGCAATTACGCTTACGATAATACAATAGCGATAAAAATAATAAAATCATGCGGGGTGAAGAAAACGCAAGCGCACCGCATGTGAAATAGGAGACTTCTCCCGCTCAATTTGCGTTCGAAAGAGCTTCTACGTGAAACGAATATCTCGACAGTAGGTATCGCGCGACTTCAAAAATCTCGGAAAATAGAATCGTGGTAACAGAACAGAGTAAAGGAATTTCACCTACGCCCTGCGTTGTCAATCATCTACCGTCAGAATCACTGACACTATCGGCACTCTAAATGAGTGATTAATAAAAGTGTTCCCTCTATACCATCAGATAATTAATTGCCAAGCATCCTTGCGATCGTAAACAGTTCTTCTCGTAGAAGATTGAGGTAGACAACACAACAAGCTACGATTAATAAATCAGATAGGCACATAAACTACAAATAACAATAAGATGCGAATAAACAAATTCTAGGTCGCAGTTCGAGTCACTCTCATAATGTTTAAGAATCATTTTATTCTTGTTGTTTATTAAATGTTAAACAAGGACAAGTGATGTTCATGAGCGTTGTAAACATAAATCGGAGTGCTTATGTCACACAGTAGAATCAAGTAACTGAGCCTCTTCAACCTGCTGCTTTTAACTCACGACGGTGAACGTAAAATCGGCGAAAACGGCACTCAAAAACCCGTTATTTTTCTTTGACAAGAAATACCCTGTGCGCGAGAGGAGAAAAATACTTTTCTCTTTTCCGTTGTTCGTAATTCACACGGAGCGTGCTCTCCCAGGGAACCGCCGGGCCGGGATACGTCACTGTGCGCCGTCGAAAACTCTCCGCAAGTTTGTTGTCAAACTCGCACGTGTTCGGAAAAAGCGCGGATTTACGTCGACCAGTTACTCTTCCGCGTCCTCTTATGTTCGACCGGGTTTCATCTTCCTTTTTCATTTCCGCGTCCGCGTTTCGACGCGTCGTGCGTTATACGCGGACGAACTATTAGTCATAACAATGCATAACATCCGAAATTTCTCATCAGATTTCTCGATTTATACGGAAAAGAGGAATGTTGAATGCTCGCGATTTTCGCGAACAATGAAACTATTTTCTGCGTCCACATTCGAATCGAATCTCGATCGCACATGTGAAGAAATTCGGCTCGAAGCTCATCTCTAGGTTCGACTTGAGATTTAGCTCGAGTGTAAGTATACAGTGTATATTATGGCTACATTCCATTTGGCATTCACAATGTGTGTGAGCACCATTTGTTCCTGTTTAACATTTGATAAACAACAAGAATGAAATAATTTTTAGAATGGTAGTGCATCGAATGGAATGTAGCCTAAGGGGATTATCTTTGTGAATTCACAAAAACTTTTCATAAAAGCTTTGTACGACAAAAGCGTTTTTTTTTTTGCGTCAATGACTTTGCGTTTTAGAAAAATTCGAGAATTTCTTTGTCCCTTTGTAACTTTTGTTGTACAATAGAAACGGATGAATGAAACAGCATCCTAAGGATTCACGATGGCCAACCTGTATATACAAAAATTTAAAATTTTTATAACGGAAATACACGATCCAGACGAGATCAGATTCCTTGTCATAATTTTGATATCTCAGAAATATATGTGAGAAAATTATTGCAACTCATATTGCTATCATTTCTAAGCGAATTATTCAACTATAAATTTGGCGAAAAACAATCTGGAAAAAAGTAAAAAATCTACATTGAGGAAATTATTGTTACTAAAGATTAAAAGAATTTATGATATTTGTTTATACAGCTTCTTCAAATATTTCACATTTTCCGTCCGTATTTATAAAATATTTTTTAGAATTCTTTAGTTCCAAATATGACGAATGTATTTTTTCGCAAACCGAAACGTTCAAATCTCCCTTTTTCCTTAAATTTTCACGGTCAAAACGTATCATTGTTGAATAATTGCCGAAAAATTATTTCTCGATGTTATCACAAATTGCAATTTCGTTAAATTTGACAAAAATATAATAGGTAAAAATATAATAATAATCATGTATAAATTTATATCAAGCGTTTCTCCCGAAAAGCAAAAATAAATCTTGTTAAATATAAGAAGCACAGCTCCATTCAATCACACGAACGTTCATTGAATAAAAAAGTAGCATAAATGACTATGCATAATATCTTTTTTTTAAATCTCGTTCTTTTTTGTCAGAGTTCACACGCGTTATGCTTGAAAATTTATGTAGACTACTTTACAATTTACTGATAGCATCATAAACGTCCATTTGAAATT